TAATTTGTCGAAGTGTTCAAATTATTTATGTCAAAGGATTAAAACTGGTGAATGGTTTATCCAAGTATTCAAGTAGGTAAGTAAGAGAAACTAATACACAACACAGGAACCATTCTAGTGGGATGTTTACTGCCTGCTACCTGGTGAGTTGTCAGGATTAAGGTGAAAAATCCACATTAGGCTGGAGAGAGCTACCTACCTATTAAAGAGAAAACAAACCTCATTTGTCACTAACTTCATGTAGAAACTCCACATCACTAACAAGCCTTCAGATCACCAACTTTGTTTTGGCCCTAACAAAATTCTTGAAAGTTATCTTTTGATTCAGGATATTTTTTTCTAATACTGCCCAAGTAAACCTAGCCTTCAATAGATCTAATGTCGCAGGCATCAATGCACATTCTGCACGCGCAGTAAAAAATGCAACCAAAAGCAAACACTCAGCAACTCAAAATATTACAGAAAATATCTGTAGGTGTGGATACATAGGTAGAAAAAGTTGAAAAGAGTCACATAAACACAAGGTTTGACCATTTAAAAGTTCACTAGAGATTTACATGTGAATTCTAGACAGGGTATATGTACATAATCAAGTAAAATATTTTAAATAAGTCTATTGTACCTCACTTAATTTTAAATTGCAAACTCCAATACATAGTAGTTTTGAAAATTAGTGTAATACAAAAAAGATTTTGGAGGATTAATATGTATTAGATCAAATTGAAGATTCAAAATTTCTTCCAAGAAATTCTATTCTTCCAAGAGCCATCTTTTGCTTCTTCTTATGTTATTCCTTCCTGATCTGTTTAAAGATGCATGTTCAGATTTAGACACACTTAACCCAAATATCAAACTGCTTGGATGAGATGTAGATTTTTTTTATTTTTATACCTCAGCAAACACATGGAATTTCACACATTGCTCCATTAAACTGAGTGAAGAGCCATTCACTTTGTTTCATTCTTAATTATCCTAAAGAACAACTGCACTGACACGTCTAGCTTTTTTTTTTTTTTTTTTTTTGAGACAGAGTCTCACTCTGTTGCCTGGGTTAGAGTGCTGTGGCCTCATCATAGCTCACTGCAACCTCAAACTCCTGGGCTCAAGTGATCCTCCTGCCTCACCCTCCCGGGTAGCTGGGACTACAGGCACACACCACTATGCCTGGCTAATTATTTTTTTCTATTTTTAGTTGTTTGGCTAATTTTTTTCTATTTATAGTAGAGATGGGTTCTCGCTCTTGCTCAGGCTGGTCTTGAACTCCTGAGCTCAAGCAGTCCTCCCGCCTTGGCCTCCTGAGTAGCTGGGACAGCAGATGCACACCACAACACCCAGCTAATTTTTCTATTTTTTGTAGAGACAGTCTCACTCTTGCTGAGGTTGGTCTTGAGCTCCTGGCCTCAAGCAATCCTTCTGCCCCAGCTTCCCAGAGTGCTAGGATTACCGCTCCTGCCTGACAATTCTCGTTCTAAGCTACATTTATTTACCAAGTTCAAGCTGGGAGCCAAGTAGACACTCTTGCTTCTGTTTCTACAAAGGAAAAGGAAAGGGGTGACTTCTCCCTTAAGGCAGATTGCCTATAAATATGTAGGTTTTGGATTGCTTTTCCTTTTTGAAATTACGGCTTTATTCTTTGGTAGTTAGCAGTTAAAAACTACAGTTTCCTGTGGATGGGGTGACAGAACCCAAGCTGTAATCAATCCCAAATGTATCACCTCACATTTTCACCACTGGTCCACGGGAGCAGTTATCTATTTTTTAAACGGTGTTTTAATACTTATGGAATATCGATTAATATTAACATTTTAAATATCATTATTACTATATACAAATAGTATTACAAATACTATTTTAAGTAGTATTTGAAAGGTAGGCTTACAACTAAACAGTAGAAGGAGGGTGACTTTTAAAAAGCTGTCTAGGAGGTCTGTGTTCATTTTTTTTTAATTTATTTTTATTTTAGCGTATTATGGGGGTACAAGTGTTAAGGTTACATATATTGCCCATGCCCCCCTCCCTCCTCGAGTAATGTGTTCATTTTAAAACAGAAAGGGGGCCGGGCATGGTGGCTCACGCCTGTAATCCTAGCACTTTGGGAGGCCGAGGTGGGCGGATTGCTTGAGGTCAGGAGTTTGTAACCAGCCTGAGCAAGAGCGAGACCCCGTCTCTACTATAAAATAGAAAGAAATTAATTGGCCAACTAATATATATAGAAAAAATTAGCCGGGCATGGTGGCACATACCTGTAGTCCCAGCTATTCGGGAGGCTGAGGCAGGAGGATTGCTTGGATCCCAGGAGTTTGAGGTTGCTGTGAGTGCGAGGCTGACGCCACAGCACTCACTCTAGCCTGGGCAACAAAGCGAGACTCTGCCTCAAAACAAAAAATAAATAAATAAATAAAACAGAAAGGGGCAGTCACCAGCCACAGAGGCCAAAGGTCATGGGACTATCTCTAGGAGGTCACGGTTCTCTAGGGAAAGGCACTTGGGCTTGGCCCTTTGTTTGATGCCTCTCAAGCCTTCCGTTATTACCAAAAACTGCTCGTAGGGCACCCATCTTCGTTACTGAACACTTTCGTTCTGAATCAAGCAGAAATGAATGGCTAAGCTCAGTGCCTGAAATAAACGAAGGGCTGTGTGGAAGGAGACCTCAGCTGGATCTCTGATTATATGCCTTTTCCTTAACAACAAAGCCTTTGAAAAATGGAAATAGACTGCTTAAGTAAAACCAGTGTTTTAGTGTTAGTGAATCCCTTGACATTTTTTTTTTGCCTTCATATCTTCGCACCACTGTGAACCTTACTGGGAAGTAATGTAAAATCATTTGGAGGAATTTCATTATGTTGAATAACACCTTTTATCATGTCTTTGTCTCAACCATAATATTCAAATTTCTGAAAGACACAGTTGTTCTCTGAATCCACGACCGCCTATTGGTTTGTGTGATCCCTGAAAGATAGAGGAAAGGAGAGATGTTTTAATTAGATCATTTATTGTCATTAACAGAATGATAAAAAGAGGCCCCAAATTATTTATTTTACATTATGTGTAGACCCACTGATAAATTAAAAAATATAGTGCATACTCTGGAAAGAGCTTCAGAGATCAAATATCTCTAACTTGCCAGGTTGATATTACTGTCGTACGTACGTTAAGCAACGTAAGGACAGGGCTGTGTCTTGAACTTGATAGCTGTTCAGTAATGACGATGGAATGACAGGAGGATGTTGTGGTAGAGCTGCATCATCTTGTCTTTTAACCACCCTGCCAGTTTTAGAATAAGCTCCTCTCCCCTCCTCCTACCCAAGCAATTCCAGGAATTCCCAAGGAATTTGGACACTGGTAATTGCCAGTGTTGGGGCTTGAGAGGGAACTGCCCAGTAGGGCCAAGGTCAGAAATGTCAACTGGAAAAGGCAAGCGGCAGAAGGCCAGGTTCTATCCTGAAGCTTTAAAGAGAAAAGTGCAGGCCGGGCGCGGTGGCTCACGCCTGTAATCCTAGCTCTCTGGGAGGCCGAGGCGGGCGAATCGCTCAAGGTCAGGAGTTCAAAACCAGCCAGAGCAAGAGTGAGACCTCGTCTTTACTACAAATAGAAAGGAATTAATTGGCCAACTAATATATATATAGAGAAAAAAATTAGCCAGGCATAGTGGCGCATGCCTGTAGTCCCAGCTACTTGGGAGGCTGAGGCAGCAGGATTGCTTGAGCCCAGGAGTTTGAGGTTGCTGTGAGCTAGGCTGACGCCACGGCACTCACTCTAGCCTGGGCAACAGAGGGAGACTCTGTCTCAAAAAAATAAATAAATAAAAATAAAGAGAAAAGTGCCTTTGAGGGTCAGGTCTAGTTTGATTGTTATTTAGATCTAGCAAATATTTATTGCGCACCTACTTTTAATAAATCATGTACTGGCAACACACACGAACACTATCTCATGTAATTTTCACAACAGAAGCATTTATTATTGCATATTAAGGTTATAGAGGTGAACTATCAAAATATAATTGAGTAAATCCTACAAGCTCTCTGCATTACTCCACTTAATCTTCAGTCAACATCACCCTAAAGTTGTTATTACAGAGTAACTTTTTGTTTTTGGAGACAGTCTTGCTCTGTTGTCCCAGGTAGAGTGGCGTGGCATCATCGTAGCTCACAGCAACCTCAAACTCCTGGGCTCCAGTGATCCTCCTGCCTCAGCCTCCCGAGTAGCTGGAACTACTGGCACTTGCCACCATGCCCAGCTAATTTTTCATTAACGCCCAGCTAATTATATTTTTTGTAGAGATGTAGTCTACTTTTGCTCAGTCTCGAACTCCTAGATTCAAGCGGTTCTCCTGCTGCAGCCTCCCAGAGCACTAGGATTACAAGCCTGAGCGACCGCGCCCAGCCCAAAAGAACATTTTGAAAGTGCAGGCCTCAATGTTTTGATATATTCTTTCTTGTAGAAAAGCTTGTTGTGTTTTCCTACTTTATTGTGCATTAGAATTCACATGGCATGTGCAAAATACAAAATCACGGCCAGGTGAGGTGGCTCACGCCTGTAATCCTAGCGCTCTGGGAGGCCGAGGCGGGCAGATTGCTCAGGATCAGGAGTTCGAAACCAGCCTGAGTGAGAGCGAGACCCCGTCTGTACTATAAATACAAAGAAATTAATTGGCCAACTAATATATATAGAAAAACTTGGCCGGGCATGGTGGCGCATGCCTGTAGTCCCAGCTACTTGGGAGGCTGAGGCAGGAGGATTGCTTGAGCCCAGGAGTTTGAGGTTGCTGTGAAGTAGGCTGATGCCACGGCACTCACTCTAGCCTGGGCAACAAAGCGAGACTCTGTCTCAAAAAAAAAACCAAAAAAACAAAATACAAAATCACATATTTTTTACTTTAAGGGCAAAATAGGGATTTCCAATAGTACCTTTGACTGCACAACAATTTTTAAGCTATCTTTAGAGCATAACCCTTATGTAGAATGCGGCTCCACAGTAATATATGTTTTTCTTTTAATCAGGACGAATAGAAGATCAATACGTAATTAGATTTATGAAAGAAAAGCTAAAATCAATGCCTTGCAGGAATCAAGGTTACATTTTGGATGGATTCCCAAAGACCTATGATCAAGCAAAAGATCTTTTCAGTCGTAAGTTTGAGTGTTCCCTTCATTTTGAGCATTTATAGCCAGATAAATTACAACTTTATTGTTCAGGGAAATAGTCACTCAATTAAAAGAAACAAAAACTTGGAGAGACTATTTATTTTTTACTTTCAGCTCACCTTTTATTAGGTGCGTCTTTTTTCTTTTTCTTCAGACGTGAGACTATTTATCCTTTTTGTTCTTCCAGACTTTAAAATTTATTTTATTTTATTGTGGCATAAACGCAACATGAGATCTACCCTTTTAACAAATTTTTAAGGTACATAAATTATTGCTGACTATAGGTGCTGTGTTCATCAGATCTGGAGAGCTTGTTCATCTTGCTGGATTAAAACTCTATGCCTGTTGACTAGTGACTCTCCTTAATGGCAGAGGCCCCTGGCAACTGCCATTCTGCTCTTCTCATCCTATGAATTGGACTATTCTAAGTACCTTATATAAGTAGATTCATGCATTTGTCCTATGACTGACTTATTTCACGTAGCATAATATCCTCAAGATTTGTGCTTGTTGTCACATATGGTAGGATTCCTTCTTTTTTAAGGCTGAATAGTATTCTGTCGGATATATATATATATATATATATATATATATATACTATATTTTCTTTATCATTAATCTGTTAATGTACATTTAGGTTGTGGGACTATTTCTAAAATACACATTCTATGGCTAGCTTTCATTAGTGATTGCTACTTGAGATATTTGAATTTTTTGCTGTAATCCATAGTAGTAACATGATGATGAATATTTTGTTTTAATAGAGGAAGATGAGGAGGAGGAGGAAGAAGTCAGAGGCAAAGTGTCTCCCTATGACAAGTTAATTATACCTGGTAAGTTCAAGATATTTCTCCAAGATCACATTTAAAGGAGGAATGCTGTTCAATATTTCTTTTGTGCAAAACAATCTTTTTGAGTTAAATAAAGTAGATTTTTCTTCTTTTAGAAAAAAAATTAAAAAGATACATTTAGGCACAAAACTTGCAAACTAGAAAATCAGGGACATTAAAGCCCTGGGATGAACAGAAGTCCCCGTGAGAGCATTTGTTTCTGCTGCTCTGTCCTGAAACAAAGCGAAAGGCAGCAAATCTGTTGATGGTTTGACTTCTGTGTCGCTTGGCGAGACCCCCAGGGACTGGACCACCACAGCCCCTTCCCCACCCTGTTTTTGGTGCTAGCGATGCCGTCATCTTGTCTAGAAGACATTCAGACCCTGAACTGAGACTGGGCAGGTAAGAAGCCTTTCGGTTCACTGTTGACTCCCCAGCAGTTTTGGTCTATCAAGAGTATGTCACAGCAGGGCACGGTGGCTCACGCCTGTTATCAATCCTAGCACTCTGGGAGGCCGAGGCAGGCAGATTGCTCAAGGTCAGGAGTTCAAAACCAGCCTGAGCAAGAGCGAGACCCCCATCTCTACTAAAAATAGAAAGAAATTACTTGGACAGCTGAAAATATATAGGAAAAAAAAAATTAGCCGGGCATGGTGGCGCATGCCTGTAGTCCCAGCTACTCGGGAGGCTGAGGCAGGAGGATTGCTTGAGCCCAGGAGATTGAGGTTGCTGTGAGCTAGGCTGACGCCACGGCACTCACTCTAGCCTGGGCAACAAAGCAAGACTCTGTCTCAAAAAAAAAAAAAAAAAAAGAGTATATCACAAAGTACTCTTGAAAGCAAAGCGCAAACAGCTTGTACTACTCGACAGGATATATTTGGCGCTGAGCAGGCATTTCTTGTGACCTTCTCATGAATGTTAGAAAGTGTTGTTTTTAGTCAGTTTGCATGAGGCGTACTCACAGGGCATCATTTATGTTGAGTCATATGATCAATACAAGAACAGCTGTTTTCAGCAACTTAGCACAAGGCTGTAACTAACAGGGGTCTGCTCGCGGGAGCCAAGTTTGTGGCTGTAATCATCTCCTCCTCTTGGTCCAGACACAGCTTGCAGAAAAGCTTCTGGAAGCCCCGAGATCTCCAGATAGCAGTCATCCTGGGGGATGGATAGTGCCTGTCTGCCTGTGAGCTCTGAAACCAGTGGCAGAAACGTGAAATGTCAAAAGGGACGGATTGTCTCAGATTTCCCATTAAGTTAAATATATGCCTCAAAGTTAAAAAGTAAAGTTGATTACTCTAAATGAGCAAGTCTGTCCAATTTATCACTTCTGGGCAATAGTCACTCCTTGCAAACTCCATGATAAATCCTAAGGTTCCCTCTGAGGTAACTGGATACATTTCAGCTCAACTAACTACGTGTCCTGCGCCAGGCACTCACTGAGCCCTTCTACAATCCTGCAAGGCAGGAATTAATTACACCCGTGTCTACCCGATGCAGAAGCTGAAGCCCAGGGATTTATCCAAGTCCGCTTCCCTGGTAAACGGGAGGACTGAAATTCACACTCAGGTCTCCTCGCTGCACTGCTCCAGAACACGGAGCCAGTGAAAGACAAGGAGGCAGAAACACACAGGTAAAGTGCTCAGTGATTCTCAGTCACGGTCCACTGGGCTGCCCTCTCTTTGTTGGATAGAGTCGCTGTGGTGGAGAACCTACAGCCTCAAGGCCACAGGTGGCCCTCCAGATCTCCAAGTGCGGCCCCTCGACCAAATCCAAACTTCACAGAACAAATCCCTTTATTAAAAGTATTTGTTGCCTGTAATCCTAGCACTCTGGGAGGCCGAGGCGGGAGGATCGCTCGAGGTCAGGAGTTGGAGACCAGCCTGAGCAAGAGTGAGACCCCGTCTCTACTATAAATAGAAAGAAATTAATTGGCCAACTAATATATATATATATAGAAAAAACTAGCCGGGCATGGTGGCGCATGCCTGTAGTCCCAGCTACTCAGGAGGCTGAGGCAGGAGGATCGCTTGAGCCCAGGAGTTTGAGGTTGCTGTGAGCTAGGCTGACGCCACGGCACTCACTCTAGCCTAGGCAACAAAGCGAGACTCTGTCTCAAAAAAAAAAAAAAAAAAAGTATTTGTTTTGTAAAATTTGGATTCAGTTGAAAGGCTGCACTCAGGGATCCGGAAGACTATATATGTGTGGCCCCAGGGCGGCAGGTTCCCCACCCCAGTCTGTTGTTAGTTAGCAAATCACCCTCTTTCCAGAAATTGTGTCTATTTTCTATCTTGCTGAAAGACATCAGAGCATTGTCTCATTTGTACCTGTTGGATTTTAATTGATGGAGGTCACTAAGCGAGGACACAGAGAGGTCAGTGCCATTGAAAGAATTTATTACTTACGTTTCCCAAGAGAAGGGGGAACGTCTCTCGCCATGAGGGCCACGTGGGGAGCTCCAGGTTTGCTCAGGAGGCAGAAGCTGAGCAAGGGGAAGGTCTGTGCCAAAGCCTTTATTGAGGTTTCTGCAGGAAAGGAAAGGCAGGCCAGAGAAAACGGCTTAGGACTGGCTAGTCTGAGCTTTGTGGGAGGCCTCTAGGTGCCTGGTGCTTTGTCCCGGGATGATTTAGGGCAAGGGAAATACTGGCTTCGTGTGTGAGAGTTAGATAAAGGCGGCGGGTGGCTTGCATGCGAGAGGCATTCTCCCAAGCAGTTGCTTACAGTCTTTAGGTGTTAGCTAGCCCCAAGAGGGGCAGTCTCTCCCCAGGTCTGTAAGGCCCTCCTCAAGATAATAAAAAGTGTGATTAATACAAGCATCCATGCTTGATTTGAGTGATGAAACATTCCACTCTATGGTAATCCAGTTCTAGGTGGTATTCTGTCCTTGATCATTTTACCACTGCCATGAGACTATATCCAGTTTGATTCTTTCAGATCTCCTAGTTGAAGGAGACAAGGTTAAAGTTATATCTACATTATGAATGTGGAAAAATTCATTAAAACGTAGACTTCCACATGACTCCAGATGGCCATATACAGGGACCTCCTTGCTACATACCATGTTACCAAGCAGAAATCTATTACTTGCTACCCACAGTGAGCCAGCACAGGGACAATAGATATTCTAAATAATTATCTTGAGATACTGCAAAATCCTGAAGTTCTCTCTGAATCATAAAGAGAATGAATGGACATTTTAAAAAAAATCATTTAGAGGGAAGTATATTTTATCATATTATAATTCTTTTAAAATTGGAAAGCCAAAGATGTTTATATTTATAATATTTGATTAACTGGAATCTTCCAACTCCCAATCACTCTGAAAAAATATAATAATATAAAATAATATAATAATAATAAAATAATATAAAAATAAAATAATATGAAAAAGATATATTATATTTTGAAATTATTAGGTCATTAACAAAATTAATAAATTTTCATCTAGGGTGCAGTGGTGTGCACCTGTAGTCCCAGCTGCTACTTAAGAGGCTGAGGCAGGAGAATTGCCTGAACCCACGAGTTTGAGGCCAGCCTGGGCAACATAGCAAGACCCTGTCTTTTGAAAATAATTAAATAAATTTTCTTCTAGACATCTGACATCATGGAGCTTAAACAAATTCAATTTCCAGTGGATTTATTGACATAATTTTGATTTTAGTACTATACGAGCATGTGGGGGGTTCAGGCATTTCTCTTCCTTTTCAAAATGTAGCCATTCATGAAAATCATGAAAATCCAATGGTCAAAGATGAGCAGAACAGGTCAGACCATTATGGATTCATAAAATTTTATTCCACATGCTCAGTCTTCAGCCCTTGTTTTCACCGTTAACAGACATGGCAGACGACGTTCACACGCCTTCCACGTGCCTCATGGGTGCATCTGCTCTGGGCTCTCTGTAGTACACTTACCTTTCTCACTTCCCTAATACAGCTTATTAGAATGCATCTAAATGAGAATGGCATTATTATGTGCTCAGCCAATACAGTTTTAGGGTAAAAATCAAATTATTCCCAAGTTTTGTTGGGCTCTAACATGAGGCAAGATATTTACAGTGCATCTGGACACTGATCTAGGCACCAGTGTACACTAGTCCTGCTGTTGAGAATACCTGAGAATAGCACCCATTCTAGGAAAGTTTATTTCACTCATGCACACTTTAATCTCTCATTCACTCAACATATACCCATTGAATTTGTACTAGAAACTGCAGAAACATTTGCTTTTATAGTTTAAAATAAAATCGCAGGTGGGTAAAATGATCACCATCATTAATATGATCTCTGTGTTAAATCTGATAAATGCTGACCCTGTTGTATCGAACATAAATGTTTCATGGCCAATGGCATTAAGTGAGGAAAGAGATGGACCCGTGGAAATTAAATTCCAAGGGGAGTCCTTGGAATTACCACTTTTATTAATTTGGCAAACTGGCCATCAAAGCAGTTTGCTCGTAGCCATGGCTGTCTTTTTGGAAGCCTGTGATAATTGTACTGGAAGGATTGACCAGGAAGCCGTTGATATCACAGGGGTGTCAGAGATTTGCTATTTATGATTTCTTCTGTTTTTATTGGAAGGAAGGAAGGAAGGAAGGAAGGAAGGAAGGAAGGAAGGAAGGGAGGGAGGGAGGGAGGGAGGGAGGAAAGGAGGAAAGGAAGGAAAGGAAGGAGATTGCATGAAATACCAGTCCATGGTCTCTGGAAACGTGGTGATATGCGTGTATTTGCCCTCCAGGAGAGGCAGCAAGAAGGCCAGTTTGACAGGCCACTTGTGGCAACAGGCGGTCCCAGCTGGTAACCAGACATCCACCGTTTGGGCCCACCAGCACCCTTCTAGCTAGCTCCACTGTATTGTGCCAACTCTGGGGCTTCTCCTTCTCCCCAGAATTCGTCTGTGCCCTGGATGCTTCCGACGAGTTTCTGAAGGAGCGGGTGATAAACCTTCCTGAGACTGTGGTGGCGGGGACCCACTACAGCCAGGACGGATTCCTGCGGGTCCTGAGCAACTACCGGGACCTCAATACGGAAGATGAGACTGTCTTCAACTATTTCGATGAAATTGAAATCCACCCGATACACATGGGTATGAAATGAATTCAGGGATAAGAGAATGTTGAAAAGCAGAACTGCCTCCCCCGACAAACCCTGGTGCATGCGGAACTGGGATCGTGGGACCGAGGGAGGGTGGGGAGTGAACCATGTGCCAGGGTGCAGGAAACCACAGGATGAACAGGGCATGCCTCCTGGGGAGTCATTTTACATGGGGATTTGGTGGTGGGAGGGTGTTATTATGGCATGAAAACATACAGATATATGCATTCATGTGACAAATTGGCATATTTTTTGACGGACACTTCAAAGAAGTGTGTTTTTGCTGCCGGCTGCTTTGGGCCATTCCTGCAGGTTCCTTGGGGGCAGTGTTCTGTCCCTATCATATTGCTGGTTGCTGGTGCTCTTCACAGATGCCCTACTGGCCTTTAGACTGGCCAGCCCACCCCCATAGCTTCCCAGAAAAGCAAATAGAGCTTCATGGCACTCCTTGTTTCCTGTAAACACATAACTCAGAGCTTAGCACACACCAGGCACTCAGTCAGTATGATCTTGCATCAAGCTCATCGTCATTATCGTCCCTGGCTCCAAATCTCCTGTGCCCTGGCACATAGCTGCTTCTAAAACTCCCCCTGGCCTGGTGAACCCCTGAACTTCCTTTCTGGTTCTCTGGATCTTGATGCTATTCCTCACCTTGGTTTGGTGAGAAACAACCAGTGCCTGCCTGGTGGAAGCTCACTGGCCAGGCTGACCCTTTGGGCCTCCCGGGGCTTCTTTCTACCCTCACCAGCCAGATGGGACAGCATGTGGACCCTGAAGTAGTAGGAGGCTTAGAGCTAATGGATAATGCCAGCAGGAGGCAAGACAACTGATTCCATATTGGCTCTGCCTCTGTTTCCTTATCTGTGAATTAGGAAAGTAACCAGGCTTACAGGGTTGTTACATATGGTAGACATAAGATATGGGCTGGGCTGGTGGCTCATGCCTGTAATCCTAGCACTTTGGGAGGCTGAGGCTGGAGGACTGCTTAAGTCCAGGAGTTCAAGACCACCCTGTACAACATAGTGAAACCTCAACTCTACAAAAAGTTTTTAAAAATTAGCTGGGCCTGGTAGCATGTGCCTATAGTCCCAACTAACCTGGGAGGCTGAGGTGGAGGATTGTTTGAGCCCAGAACTTAGAGATTGTAGTGAGCCATGATGACGCCACTGCACTCTAGCCTGGCAACAGAGCAAGACTTTGTCTGAACAACAACAACAACAAAAAAAGGCACTTCATTAAGTGCCTAACACAACAAGTGGTGATTTTGTTATTACTACCAATACTAAGTTATAAAATGATATGCTATGAAGAAATATAAAAATAACAATTTATAAATTTGCAAATTCTTTTCTTTTTTGCACCCTCAGCAGCAATTGGGTTTTGCCCTCATCTAGATCGGTTTCTGCATGCTGAACATGTTTTAGGCCAGGCATGGTGGCTCACGCCTGTGATCCTAGCACTCTGGGAGGCCGAGGCAGGCGGATCGCTCAAGGTCAGGGGTTCAAGACCAGCCTGAGCAAAGAGCGAGACCTTGTCTCTACTAAAAATAGAAATAAATTAATTGGCCAATTAAAAAATATATATATAGAAAAAAATTAGCCAGGCATGGTGGCGCATGCCTGTAGTCCCAGCTACTCAGGAGGCTGAGGCAGGGGGATTGCTTGAGCCCAGGAGTATGAGGTTGTTTTGAGTTAGGCTGAAGCTGAGACTCTGTCTCAAAAAAAGAACATGTTTTATATGTAAAAGCTAAGGATTCTATACCTTCTAATATGGAAATTAGTTTATACCAATTAGAGAATTAGGAAAGAATTGTGAACAAATTTTAAAAGAGTAGTGATTGTCATCTTTTTAGTAAAGCCCAAAAAATTACTTAAAGGAAGACAAGGAGAGTCCCAGGGGGAAACACTGAGAAAAACAGAAATGACGGGGAGGAATGAATGAAGTGGCCACTGTGTTCTGTCTCATTCTGTGCTCATGACATTTAGCCTCATCTCCACAGTCACAACTGAGAGATAACGTGAAAGCAAAGGGAAGAAATATGTCACAAAGATAGGGGTAGGAGGAGGTGTCTGAAGGCCAGGAATGCAGCCCGGCCTCAGAAGGGTCTGGAATGGGGCCCTGGAAAGATGCCGGGAGCCACATTCTGTCTCTGCATCTAGACCCCACTTCTCTGTCAGTGTCTCTTTCGTCTTGTCCTTGGGCCAGTGTTCCCTCCCTCCTCTCTGGCCCCTATGGTAGACTGAGGCCACCCCACAGACCCAGAGTTGCCATGTTATACTGGGAGCCAAGCCCAGAGTTGGACTGACTCTGTCTGTCCAATTCCATATTCCTAGAAGGGCAACTCTGCTGGTGAGAGTTTGGCCATGTGCCCACGCTGGTCTGATCAGCGGGTCCTCCGCTCCAGCGTCAGGGTGGAATATCGCTGGGGGGAAACTCTTCCTGATGACCTCTTCTCCAAAAATAGAGCCTTTCCCAAAACATTTGAGGGTACTTAGTGACATCAGGAAATACATTTAAACATCACAGGTTGGCTGTGCGTGGTGGCTCACGCCTATAATCCTAGCACTCTGGGAGGCCGAGGCGGGCGGATTGCTCGAGGTAAGGAGTTCAAAACCAGCCTGAGCAAGACCCCATCTCTACTAAAAATAGAAAGAAATTAATTGGCCAACTAAAAAATATATATACAAAAAACGTAGCCGGGCATGGTAGCACATGCCTGTAGTCCCAGCTACTCAGGAGGCTGAGGCAGGAGGATCGCTTGAGCCCAGGAGTTTGAGGTTGCTGTGAGCTAGGCTGACGCCACGGCACTCACTCTAGTCTGGGCACAAAGTGAAACTCTGTCTCAAAATAAATAAATAAATATCACAGGTCAAGCACTAAGGAGATACCAGATATGACTTCATTTTTTGAAGGTTTTCTTTGCTTTTTTTCTTCCAAACAAAAGGTCTCACATATTTATTACTGAGCCAGCTTACTAGTGCAGAGCATATAAACAATGAGAAAAACATTTTCCCAATAAAATGTGTCTAGCTGTCCCGATAGTGGTGACATTTTCAGCTTGATGGTGAGGTGATAGTGACCTTGATGCAGCATAAATACGTGCACCATCTCACGTGCAGTTCCTTACGGACCCAGCTGGCTTCTTCTCCAGTGTCTCCTCTTGGAGTTGTACTTGATTTTATTACCAGTTTTCATCCAAATCCACTGGGGAATGGGTCGATTTTGCTTTTGCACTCTGGCCAGGAATCGCTTGATCCTGAAAGTCTCATGAGGAGACATGGTGAGAAAAGGAGCCAACCACACACACCATGATGACAGCCTAGCTTTTTTAAGGGCTTGCTTCTGCCCCGCCCCTCTTCCCATGTTAGAACCTGGTAGTTCGTCTGTCTAGCCTAGGTCAAGGCCACACGGACACTGGGTGGGTGCAGCAGTGGCTGTGGGTGGGGGTGAGGCAGGCAGTTACTCAGAGGCAAGCCTGGAGGGGCTTGGTCCAAATGCTTGGGCTGTAAGGTCCTCTGCAGACACCCTCCAGGCAAACCCCTGTGACTTTGTGGAAATCTCATTGTTTATCAGTAAGCCATTTTTCTTCTTTTTCTCTTTGGTCTTGATATTAACATTAGTCACATATTCTGGAGTTTGGACATTTTCCTATTCAAGTAGGCTAACTAATATGGTTAATTTTTTATGAATCGAAAATGCATCCCAGCATCACTGAGCCTCAGAAACTGAAAACAGGAGGAACACCAAGGTTATCCTACCTGGCCTCCAGCAAGTGCAGGACTTTCTTCTGTAGAAACCTGTGAAAGAACTGTCCCAGTCTTGCTTGAGTACCTCCAGGGATGGAGAGCTCATTACTTTGGAGGTGGCCCATCCCCCCCCATCCATCCACTCCAATCAACAGGGATCATTAGGACTCAGAGACGCCACGTCCAAATCTTCCCTACCCATGACTCTCAGACTCTGGTCTGGTATTTGCCTGTGAGAGAAGAAATTCTGAACTATGCTGGCAATTAGAAAAGAAAACCCCAATGTGGTAATTTACTTAATTTACTATCACAAGTTTTTAGTGAGTAATGAAGCATTTTCCCAATTGCAGGCAAGCCTAGAATATAAGTATGTGTTGATCTCCTCTCCCCTGGTATTTAAAGATGTAGGAAAACTCGAAGATGCTCAGAATAGACTTGCTATCAAACAGCTTATCAAAGAGATTGGGGAGCCTCGAAATTACGGTTTAACAGATGAAGAAAAGGCGGAAGAGGAGCGGAAGGCTGCAGAGGAGTGCCTGGCCAGGGAGGCCGCTGCGGAAGCAGAACGCGAGCACAACGAGGCGGTGGAGATGGCGGAGAAGGTGGCCCGCTGGGAGGAGTGGGTGAGTGCCTGTGACTTGGGGACAGGTGTTTGGCAAAGCCACTTAGGCCACTTCCACTTCCCATCCCGCTAGAGAGAAATGTCAGGGAAATACCCCAAACAAGGTTTTTTTTTTTGGTCATATGGACCATTTTTAAAAAGATATCCATGGTCTTTTGCTAAGTATCCATAACAATGTCAACGGCAAAAAAAAAAAAAAAAGCCAAACTCTGTAAAATAATTTTAAAAGGATTTATTGTGAGCTAAATTTGAGGACCATGACTTAGAGCTACACTCAAGAAGTCTTGAGTGAGTGGACTTACTGTGGTTGGGTTACAGTTTGGTTTTATACATTTCAGGGAGACAGGGGTTACATGTAAAGTCATAAATCAATACATGGGAGGCATACATCAGTTTGACCCAAAAGGGAGGGCCATCTCGAAGGGGGAGGGGCTAACAGGTTATAGGTGGGTTTAAAGATTCTTTGAGGGAGGGCATGGTAGCTCACGCCTGTAATCCTAGCACGCTAGGAGGCGGAGGTGGGAGGATCACTCAAGGTCAGGAGTTTGAAATCAGCCTGAGCAAGAGATCCTGTCTCTATTAAAAATAGAAAGAAATTAGTTGGCCAACTAAAGATATAAGAGAAAAATTAGCCGCATAGTGGGCATGCCCTGTAGTCCCAGTACTTGGGAGCTGAGCAGAAAGATTGCTTGGAGCCCAGGAGTTTGAGGTTGCTGGTGAGTAGGCTGATGCCATGGCCCTCTAGCCCACGCAACAGAGTGAGATTCTATCTCAAAAAAAAAAAAAAAAAAAAAAAAGATTCTTTGACTTGTAATTGGTTAAAGACTTGATGCTTTATCTAAAGGCTTGGAATGTTTGGAATGTTGTTACATAAGGAGCTGTTTATCAGAGATGAGCCAATGGGACATAGATTTGTTGTGTAAATTAGAGGACCTGTAGGTTTGCCTTGCATACCCTTAGGCCTGTTAATGGGTTATGAAGGATGTCCCCAGGAAGGGAGGCAAGCTTGATGAGGCAAGTGTGACCTTCCGCCTCCTGGCAGGCAATTTAGTTTTAGGATATTCCTTTGGCCACGAGGGATTCAGTCAGCCAGTGGGTTGGTGAGCCTTAAGATTTTATTTTAGTTCACAACAAAAACTAACCATTGTCAGTAGTATAATAATACACACTTGTAACCTGGGCACAGAGGCTCATGCCTGTAATCCTAACACTTTGGGAGTTCAAGGCAGGAGGATCCCTTGAGGCCAGAAGTTCGATACTAGCCTGGGCAACATAGTGAGACACTAGTTTCAAAATATTAATATTAATAATAATAATACACATCCCTGTAAATGTATAATATTTTCTTACATGTCGACCTTGTGATTTGATTTTCCTCCATTTACCCATCTAACCTGGGTGTTCCGCCTCATTCCACTTCTCCTTAGTCCCCAAATCACTGAGTCTAATAAGTGATTTTGCTTCCAAAAATAGCACCCAAATCTGTCCACAGCTCTCCATTGCCCTTGATCAGGGTCAGAGTGTCTCACCAGAACTAGGCAGTCTCCGCACAGTCTCCCCATCTCCACCTTGTCTACCTCCAGTCTGTTTCCACGCTGCTGCCAGGTGATTCTACTAAAATGCAGATCCACCACCACTCTTTCCTGCTTAATACTCTTCACAGCCTGTCCATCACCACTGGACAAATGTCCCTACTCCTCATTGTGGCCCACAGGGTCCTTTGTGACCTGTTTGCTTCTAATATTTTCCAACTTCAAAAACTCCTCCAATGCTATTCTTGTTGGGTCATCTGCCTGACCAACTTCCTGTCATCTCTCGTCTTTTACTAAAAGTCATCTTTCCAATGAGGCTTTTCCCGATCACTACATGGAAAATTTCATTAGCTGGTTGTGGTGGCACATGCCTATATTCCCAGCTATTCAGGGGGCTGAAGAGGGAGGATGGCTTGAGCCAGGAGTTCAAAGCTGCGGAGAGCTGTGAACGAGCCACTACACTCCAGCCTGGAGGTTATAAAGGTATAATATAAAAATTATAGTTATAGGCCGGGCGCTGTGGCTCACGCCTGTAATCCTAGCTCTTGGGAGGCCGAGGCGGGCGGATTGCTCAAGGTCAGGAGTTCAAAACCAGCCTGAGCAGGCGGACCCTCTCTACCTATAAATAGCAAAGAAGATTAATTGGCAACTGATATATATACTAAAAAATTAGCCCGGGCATGGTGGCGCCATGCCTGTAGTCCCAGCTACTCGGGAGCTTGAGCAGGAGGATTGCCTTGAGCCCAGGAGTTTACCACACACGCGAGTACAGCTCAGCAAGGCACATCAGTCAGACACCCACACAACGACAAACGGGAACTCACTCTACCCTGGCACAACAACAGCGAGACTCTGTCTCAACAAAACAAAAAAAAAAAACCAAACAAAAAAATTAATCACCGTTACTCACCCTACCCCCCAGACCAACGAGCTTTGGAGATCAATTTCTCTAACTTGTCAAGCTTACAAAATTACTCGAGAAGATATACACCCTAAGCAACAGTGAGGACAGGGACATCCCATCTTTGAACATGACGGCTCATTAATACATCCTCCACACATCCGAAATGTAAACCGACTATTCCCGTCGCCTCGCAGCATGTTGCCTCATCTTAAACCCACCTGTGCTCCAGTATCTCACGACAAACCTCTCCCTCTCAACCCTAACCCAAGCAATTCCAGGAATTCCCAAGGAATTCCAACAACTGGTAATGCCAGTGTTGGGGCTTGAGAGGCGAACTGTCAACATAGGCCCAAAGTCCCAGAATACCCAACGGAAAAGACCAGGGAGGCCAAGGGTATATCTTATAATACCCTTATCAGCTTTTATAAAGTGACCTTACCACCAACGTTCTTCTCCCAATTCACATCCCCAGTTTATCTTGTAACGCATTATTTATCTCGTGCTTGTATTAACCATTTTAACAGATCTAAACCTGTACTGGGGTGAATTCTGTGACAATTGTTCTCCATTTTCTGATTGGACATTTGCTTTACCCCCAAATGTTCTATTTGTAGAATAAACGGCTAGAGGAAGTGAAACGGGAAGAAAGAGAATTGCTGGAGGCTCAGTCTATTCCCCTGAGAAACTATTTGATGACCTATGTTATGCCAACTCTTATGCAAGGTCTGAATGAGTGTTGTAAGGTCAGACCAGAGGATCCCATTGATTTTCTGGTAAGAGACTGAATTTTTTTAAAAAAATAACAATGTGAAAATAAAATATGCCTGAATCTTATCAAAAAACCAGCTGAGATATAAAAACTGTATGTCTAGTTATTTGGGAAATAGTTTCTAATACATTCACGGTTTATATTAAGATTTTTATTATTTGTTTGCAAGTAAAAAATTTATGTACTTTTATTTTTAAATTATAAATATTACTGGTACAAATATATGACTAATAATAACTTGTAAACTGTTGACTTGTCTTTTTTTTTCCCTTTCAACTGTAGGCAGAATATCTTTTCAAGAACAATCCTGAAACTCAGTGAAACTTTAAAGATCTCGCATCATATACCTTTACACAGTTAGAGATCAATGTAACGTTGTAATTTGAAAAAGTGCTTTGTTTTTTTTTTTTGCTGTAAACAAATATTCTATAAAGTAGAATCATTATAAAACGCTATATGGCAATGAATGACTACTTCATTAAAACTGTATTTGAAAGATAAATTGATAAGGCATCTGTGTATAGCTCATGAGACAGATATTGATTTGTGATTTTATTCTTTGGTCAGTTCTAAGTATTCTGCCTCTTCACACTAATGTTTATAGAAATTTAACTTATAGCATGAAGAAAATCAGACTATATATTATTCTAATAATATATAGTAATATATATATTATGCATATATATGTTATATATATTATGCATATATATATGCAGGCTAATTAATTTACATGACTTATGGTCTGAATACCAATGGTGTTAGAAATGGAAATAATTTAGAGCAGTTTGTGCTTTGCTGAGTCACAGTAACTCAGACATGGTTTGTTTCCCCAAGGTTGCTTTTGAGTTCAGGGTCAGAATCCCAGCCAATGAATCAGAGAGAACTGTAAACCTTTAGGTGGAAAAATTCATGTAATAGGATAAATCTAATATTTGTGATAATCAGAAAGTTGCTGAATATTGTCAACAAACTTTAAAATACAGGCATAAGTTATCAATCCCTATGGTCTTTTTTTCAGCTCTAAAAATCCCATAAAATTCATAGAATTACCCTGAATGAGAAATTAGTTTATGTTTATTTTAATGGCATGTATATTTTATCCCTTTAAATAATGTAACCTAATATAACTGCCCTATTTTTTTATTGTGGTAAAATACACATAAAATTTACCACTGTTACTATTTTAAAGTGTACAATTCAGTGGCATTAAGTACATTGACAATGCTGTGCAACCACCACCATCATCTAGTCCAGAACTTTTTCATCACCCAAATGGAAACTTGTCATTAAGCATCACTCTCCACTATCCCTCTACCCCCAACTCCTAGCAACCACGAAGTTGCTTTCTGTCTCCATGTATTTGCTTATTCTAAATATTTATGTAAAAGGAATCATACAATGTGTGGCCTTTTGTGTCTGACCTCTCACTTAGCATGATGTTTTCATGGTTCAGCCATGTTATAGCATGTATTAGTACTTCATTTCTTTTTATTTTTTGAGTCTCAATCTGTTGTTCAGGCTAGAGTGCCGTGGCTTCAGCCTAACTCAGAGCAACCTCAAACTCCTGGGCTCAAGGGATCCTCTTGCCTCAGCCTCCAGAGTAGTTGGGACTACAGGCATGCACCACCATGGCCAGCTAATTTTACTATTTTTAGTAGGGATGGGGGTCTCACTCTTGCTCAGGCTGGTCTTAAACTCCTAAGCTGAAGCAATCCTCCTGTCTCTGCCTTCTAGTGTGCTAGGATTACAGGAGTGAACCACTGTACCTGGCCTCATTTCTTTTTATAGGTGAATAATATTCCATTGTATGGATATACCACATTTTGTTTGATCATTCATTTGTTGATGAACATTTGAGTTGTTTCCACCTTTTGGCTACTGTGACTAGAACTGCTATAAACATTCATGTACAAGTTCTTATTTGAACACCTCTTGTTAATTCTTTTGGCTAGATACTTAGGAGTGGAATTGCTGTTCTATGATAATTCTATGTTAACTTACTGAGGAACCACCAAACTGTTTTACACAGTAGCTGTACCATTTTACATTATTATTCTAATTCCCTACATCTTTACTTATACTTGTTATTTTTTTTAATGGCCATCTTGGTGGGTATGAAATAATATTATATTGTGATTAATCATCTTTTAATATGTTTACTGGCCATTTGGATATCTTTTCTGGAGAAATGTACAGGCATACCTCAAAGAAATTTCAGGTTTGGTTCCAGACCACCATAATAGAGTTAATATTGCAATAAAGCGAGTCACACAAATTTTTTGGTTTCCTAGTGAGTATAAAAGTTATGTTTATATGATACCACAGTCTGTTAAGTCTGCAATAGCATTGTCTAAAAAAAAAAAAAAAAAAACAATGTGCATAGCTTAAATAAAAAATACTTCATTGATAAAAATGCTAACAATCATCTGAGCCTTTAATGAGTTATAATCTTTTTGTCGGTGGACTCGATGTTGATGGCTGCTGGCTTATCAGGGTGGTGGTTGATAAAGGCTATGGCAATTTCTTAAAACTGAAAAATGAAGTTTGCTCCATCAAATGACTCTTCCTTTCACAAGCAATTTCTCTATAGCATGTGATGCTATTTGATAGCTTTTTAACCACATTAGAACTTCTTTTTTTTTTTTTTTGCCCGGGCTAGAGTGCCGTGGCATCAGCCTAGCTCACAGCAACCTCAAACTCCTGGGCTCAAGCAATCCTACTGCCTCAGCCTCCCAAGTAGCTGGGACTACAGGCATGTCCACCATGCCTGGCTAATTTTTTCCATATATTTTTACTGTCCAAGTAATTTCTTTCTCTTTTTCTTTTCTTTTCTTTTTTTTTGAGACAGAGTCTCACTTTGTTGCCTAGGCTACAGTGAGTGCCACGGTGTCAGCCTAGCTCACAGCAACCTCAAACTCCTGGACTCAAGCAATCCTCTTGCCTCAGCCTCCCAAGTAGCTGGGACTACAGGCATGTGCCACCATGCCCGGCTAATTTTTTGTATATATGATTTTAGTTGGCCAATTAATTTCTTTCTATTTTTAGTAGAGACAGGGTCTTGCTCTTGCTCAGGCTGGTCTCAAACTCCTGATCTCGAGCGATCCGACCACCTTGGCCTCCCACAGTGCTAGGATTACAGGCGTGAGCCACCATGCCCGGCCTCTTTTTATTTTTAGTAGAGTCAGGGTCTCACTCTTGCTCAGGCTAGTCTCCCAGAGTGCTAGGATTACAGGCGTGAGCCACTGCGCCCAGCCCCTGCGGCTACTTTATCAACTAAGCTTATGTAATATTCTCAATCCTTTGTTGTCATTTTGATATTGCTGACAGCATATTCACCAGTAGATTCCATTTCAAGAAACCACTGTCTTTTCTCATCCAGAAGAAGCAATTCATTATCCATTAAATGGTTTTAATGAAATTGCACCAATTAAGTTCTACATCTTCAGGCCCCACTTCTAATTCTAGTTCTCTTGTTATTTCCACCACATCTGCAGTTACTTAACTGCACTGAAATCTTGAACCCCTCAAAGTCATGAGGGTTGGAAACAACTTTTTCCAAACTATTATGTGTTGATATTTTGACTTCCTTCCATTGATAGCAAATGTTCTTAATGGCATCTAGAATGGTAAATCCTTTCCAGAAGGTTTTCAATTTACTTTGCCTAGATCCATTAGAGAAATCACTATGGCAGGTATAGCCTTATGAAGTGTATTTCTTAAATAATAAAACTTGAAAGTCAAAATTACTTCTTGACCTATGAGCTACAGAATAGATGTTGTGTTCGCAGGCATGAAAACAGTATTAATCTCCCTAGACACCTCTCCATCAGAGCTCTTCAGTGATCAGGTGCAGTAATATTTTTTTTTTTTTTTTTTTTTTACAGAGTCTCGCTTTGTTGCCCAGGCTAGAGTGAGTGCCATGGCGTCAGCTTCGCTCACAGCAACCTCAAACTCCTGGGCTCAAGAAATCCTCCTGCCTCAGCCTCCCGAGTAGCTGGGACTACAGGCGTGCGCCACCATGCCCGGCTGATTTTTTCTATATATATTAGTTGGCCAATTAATTTCTTTCTATTTATAGTAGAGACGGGGTCTCACTCTTGCTCAGGCTGGTTTTGAACTCCTGACCTTGAGCAATCTGCCCGCCTCGGCCTCCCAGAGTGCTAGGATTACAGGCGTGAGCCACTGCGCCCAGCGAGCAGTAATATTTTGAAAGAAATCTTTTGAGCAGGAAGACTCAACAGTGAGCTTAACACATTCAGTAAAGTAAGCCAGGTGTGTTGGTGCATGCCTTTAAGGCCCAGCTACTCGGGAGGCTCAGGCAGGAGGATCAATTCAGCCCAGGAGTTTGAGGCTATAGTACATGATGATCGTGTACTCCAGGATAGTGTACTCCATAGCCAGTGTACTCCAGGCTGGACAACATAGTAAGATCCTGTTATTCAGTAAACCATACTGTAAACAGATGTGCTGTCATCCAGGCTTTGTTGTTTCATTTACAGAGCAGATTTAGCATAATTCTGAGAGGCCACAGGATTTTTTTGAATGGTAAATAAGCATTGGCTTCAACTTAAAGTCACCAGCTGCAATAGCCCCTAACAAGAAAGTCAGCCTGTCCTTTGAAGCTTTGAAGTCGGGCATTGACTTCTCCTCTGTAGCTATGAAAGTCCTAGATGGCATTTTCTTCAACGGTGAAAATCTATTATTTAGTATAGCCACCTTTATCAATATCTTAGCTAGATCTTCTGGATAACTTGCTTCTATATCAGCACTTGCTGCTTCTCCTTGCATTTTTATATTATGAAGATAGCTTCCTTCCTTAAACCTCATGAACCAACCTCAGCTAGCTTCAACTTTTTTTTCTATGGCTTCCTCACCTCTCAGCCTTCACAGAATTGAAGAGAGTTAGGGCTTTCTTCATATCAACAATAAGACTGTTTTGCTTTCTTATCTAATTCCAATAGTGTCATGTCTCAGGGAATAGGAAGGCCTGAGGACAGGGAGAGAGATGGTGGAGTAGCTAGAACACACACATTTATTAAGTTCCCCATCTTTTATGGGAGCAGTTTGTGGTACCTGAAAACAATTATAATGGTAACATCAAAGATCACTGATCACTGTAACAGATATAATAATAAGGAAAAGGTTGAAACTACAAGAATTACAATTGAAGTATTGTGTGACACAGAGACACGAAGTGAGTTTATCAGCACCATTGGAAAAATGGTGCTGATAAACTTGGCTTGATGTAGGGTTGCCAACAAGTATCAATTTGTAAAAAAATGCACTATCTTTGAAGCACAATAAAATGAGGTGTGCCTGTATATTCAAGTCCTTTGCTCATTTTTTATTTGGATTGTTTGTCTTTTTGTTCTTGAATTGTTAGAATTCTTTATGTATTCTGGATAGAAGACCCTTATCAAATACATGATTTGCAAATATTTCCTCCCATTTTGTGGGTCTTCTCATTCTGTTGATGGTGCCTTTTAATTTAGAGGAAGTCCA